CCTTTTCTGCCTGGGCTGGTTTCAAACTGAGATCCTCAGATCTCAGTGTCCTGAGTAGCTAGGATTACAGGCGTGAGCCACTGGCACCCAGCTAGATTCTTATCTTTAGCAAAAAGCTGGAAGTAAAGGCATAGCTCAAGTGGTAGAGCACCAATCTTTTTTTTTTTTTTGGGTCCAGTCGTGGGGCCTGAACTCTGGGCTTGGGCGCTGTCCCTCAGCTCTTCAGCTCAAGGCTAGTGCTCTACCAGTTGGCCACAGCACCACTTCCGACTTTTTTTTTTGCTTATGTGGTACTGAGGAATCAAATCCAGGGCCTCATGCATGCAAGGCAAGCGCTCTACCTCTGAGCCACCTTCCCAGCCTAGAGCACCAATCTTGAGCATAAGTATGTACTAACAACATGGAAAGAAACACTAGAAATGATAGCTAAGAGTCAGAAGTATTTGCTTCTCAGCAGTGGAGAACACAAAAAAAGTAATCAAAATAAATAGAAAATTACAGTTACAGAGCATGGATCAGTGAGGATAAGACAGTAATTTGGTTCTAAGACATGCTTGAGGATGGGCAGCAAAGCCCTCCCTGGGCTGAGAGATGAAAACTGCATGGGCCCTAAGGGTGAAGGAGCCTGGCAGGCCTGAAAACCAGGAGTGAGGCACCGGAAGTGTGAGGAAGGCAGCCAGACTCAGGCAGAGGGTGGAATTCTGTCTAGGATGTGGCAGAAAAGGAAGCAACTCTGGTCTAGAACAGTGGCAAAGAATAATGAGGAAGCACTTCATAATCCCTCATAATCCAGAGGCAGAGTTTTTTACATCACTAGAACACATACTGAGTTGGACATAAAGTCACCTGGTGACAAGACCAGTGACAAAAGTGGCTCTCATACAAACTCTCAGCTATACAACTCCAGAAGCAGCAGCCCAGGTCTTCATACCTTCCCAAACTGCCGTAGAAGCTGAATGAATGCTCCTTTGCCAAAGGGATTAGTAAGACTTGCATGGAAAGCAAGTGTTGGGTATTCTTGGGAGAGAACAGCAACCCATCGTTTCTAAAGGGAGAGAACAAAACATGCTAGTAAGTTGTACTTTCTTAGTTACAATATACAGAAGAATCAGAGCTAGAATTACTATATTGTGTTTCAAATATAGTTACCTAAGGAAAAATGTTATTTATAATTCCTTGAAATATTTTTTTTGGGGGGGGTCCAGTCATAGGGCCTGAACTCTGGGTCTGGGCGCTGTCCCTCAGCTCTTCAGCTCAAGGCTAGCACTCTACCACTTCAGCCACAGTGCCACTTCTGGCTTTTTTTTTTCTTCTGTTTATGTGGTGTTGAGGAATCGAACCCAGGGCCTCATGCATGCAAGGCAAGCGCTCTACCACTGAGCCACCTTCCCAACCCCCTTGAAATATTCTTTCAAGTATGACAACGCTTGTTTTTTTGTCTGAGAAATACTGCAAAACAATATTTCCCAAGTGCCTGCACTGCTACTACATGCAATCAATGGAACACAATGTGTGCTGCAGGACAGCAGCTGCCTATCTGAGGGCACATCATCACTGGTCCTGCAGGGGTCCTGCAGCTGCCCTGTAACACAGCATGCTATCAGAGGAAGAAGGGCGCCCCTATCTTATCAATAGAGCACACTGCAGTTGTGTTTTCATTAAGAACTCTGCAGTGACTAGAAACCGCTTCAGAAGCACAGCACTTCAATTTCTGAAGTTCTAGGAACCATGATACATTAATACATATCTCAAGTCTACTTGAGCTAGAAGTAGCTTTTATCATCTGTTTTGAATTAGCTCTGTACTTACTGTTGCCCAGGTTGGAACAAGGTCACATTTGTTAAGCACAAAAATGAGGTGTTTCCAGGGTTTTTCCTTTTTCAAGTAAGCTTCAATGTGAGGGGAACGGGTACCCATTGGATCTCTAGCATCAAGAACTTGGACTACAACATCTGAAGAGTCTATTACCTGCAAATTCAAAGAGGCAGAAATAGTTTGCTATAATACATACAAAATCCAAGAAGGACAACCTGTAAGGGAATCTGGGCAAATAGTATTTAGAAACTGCACAGCAGCTCTTTCTCTTTTTCTCTTCTTCTATCCCCTGTCCCTGCATGTCTCCATCTCTCACGGGTTTGCTCTCCCCCCAATAAACTTTTTTTCTGCCTGAACCATGTGATGCTTTCCTTTCCAGTGAACCTTACATCTAGTGCCAAAATCTAGAAGCCATGATTCGGGTGGGGACAGTCAGGAGTCAATGGATCCCTTCCTCCCTCTTCTCTTTCTGAGGGTTAATCTGCGTCCTTGACCATCCCTCCTCAAACCAAACTGCTGGAAGATGGTTGAACCCCATCTTGGACTTCTTTCCTTTGCCATTGCTGGATACACACCCACCACACTGTCTCCTCTCTACATCTGGTGACATTCTTGAGGCCCACAAGTAACCCTTCACCACAAAACACAGCCCGAAGATCATACAGTCATCCTACTAAGTCTCCAAACTTCTTTTCCCTTCTATTCATCTTTATCCCAAACTCTAACCTGTTCTGGGCTTTGAATAACTGTGTGTTTAAATATCTGACCTTTGAAATAAATCTTGAAATGTTCTCTTACCAACTATGTCTAAATAAATAAGTAAATAAACACACAAAAAAAACAAAAACAAACTGTATTGCAGCCTGTGAGGAGAGTAGGTATAGTCAATATCAACCCCAGTTATCAGAATTCAGTTTTTTTTTCCATCCTATAAATATTTAAAACTTGTCTTTTTGTGTGTGCCAGACTTGGGGTCTGGGTGCTGCCCCTGATCTTTTGTGCTCAAGGCTAGCACTCTACCACATGAGCCACAGATCTACTTCTGGCTTTTTTGGGTGGTTAATTGAAAATAAAAGTCTCATGGTGGGCTGGGAAATTGGCTCAGTGGTAAAATGCTTGCCTCACATGCATGAGGCCCTAGGTTTTATTCCTCCACACCACATAAACAGAAAAAGCAGAAAATGGTACTGTGGCTCAAGTGGTAAAGTGCTAGCCTTGAGTTGAAGAGCTGAGGGACAGCACCCAGGCCAAGCGTTCAGGCCCCATATCCAACAACAACAACAATAATCTCATGGACTTTCCTGTCTGGGTTGGCTTCAATGAGTGATCCTCAAAGTAGCTAAATTTACAGAGGTGATATAAACTACCAGCACCCAGCAAACTCACCAAATTTTAAATACAAAAACTAACCACTAATGGCTCACACCCTAGTAATCCTAGCTACTCAGAAGGTTGAGATCTGAGGATTATGGTTCAAAGCCAGCCTGGGCAGGAAAGTCTGTGAGATTCTTTTTTTTTTTTTTTTGGGGGGGGGTCCAGTCGTGAGGCCTGAACTCTGGGCCTGGGCAGTGACCCTCAACTCTTCAGCTGAAGTTTAGCGCTCTACCACTTGAGCCACAGTGCCACTTCCGGCTTTTTTGTTTTTGCTTATGTGATGCTGAGGAATCGAACCCAGGGCCTCAGGCATGCAAGGCAAGCGCTTTAACCACTGAACCAACTTCCCAGCCCCCTCTGTGAGATTCTTATTTCCAATTAACCACCAGAAAACCAGAAGTGGTGCTGTGGCTCAAAATAGTAGAGCTCTAGCCTTGAGCTAAAAAAGGTCAGGGACAGTGCCTAGGGTCCTGAGTTCAAGCCCTATGATAAACAAAAACAAAAACATAAAAACTCCTCAACTTACTGGGTTAGCTCTTGTTAACTACTAAATATTATAGATTTTGTGTATTTCACAAAAAACATATACATATATATATGTATATACATACACATACATGTATATAGTTTAGTTTCTCTATTACTATACTGTTTAGTTACATGATACTTGAAGAAGGTCTTTCTTCCTAACAATATTATTCTCACAGAGATCTCAGCCAGTTAAGCATCAGATCAGGACTCAGGATGAGAGCACTGAGCAAAGTATCAACTTTTTCAGACATGAACTCTTACTTACAAAGAAAGGTGGGCAGGACTAAATAGCTTAGTAATTCTCATGAGGCTCTAAGTAAAATAAATGGTAATCTAAAGAAATACTAGACAGCAAAATATTTAGTGTATATAGGTAGCTGCCATTCTTATGCAGGTAATTGTAAATACAGTCCCCTAGAATAATGGCAGTATGTGTGGCTGCTTAATCCTGGTTTCTTTCTGGAGGGAAGAGGATGAACATGTAACAGAGCCTGTACTTCATGTGACAGGGTGTCAATCTATCAAAATCAGGTGCTCACAAAAATCATGAAAGCCAAAGGAACTGAGAATGGAGGAATCTTACCTTGTAGAGCTCACCCCATATTCTTCTGGACTGTCCCTTTTTATATATCTCTTCTTGGGCTTCATTTCTAAATAAGAAAGCATTCAAAATGAGCTACAGAAGCACCATCAATATGAAAACGATGCTTACAGTAGAATACTATCCAGCTTCAAAAAGAAGGCATACTCTAACACACATTACAATTATAGATAAACCTTGAATACACTGTACGAAGTAAAACAGCCAATAGAAAATGACACATTTTGTTTCCACTTGTATGAGGTACCAAGACAAGTTATGCTCACAAAACAAAGTAAGAATGGTAGTTACAAAGGACTGAGAAAGGGAGGAATGGGATTGGCATTTAATGGGTGCAGACTTTTAGTTTGGGATGATGAGAAGTTCTGGAGGTAGACACTGGTAAAGGTTGTGCAACAGTGTAATTGTACTTAAAACCACTCAACTGTATACTTAAAATGGTTATAGTGGTAGATTTTGACCATATGTAGTTTTTTTTTTTTTTTTTTGGTCTGGTCGTGGGGCCTGAACTCTGGGCTTGGGCGCTGTCCCTCAGCTCTTCAGCTCAATGCTAGTGCTCTACCATTTGAGCCACAGCGCCGCTTCCGGCTTTTTTTTTTTCTGCTTACGTGGTGCTGAGGAATCGAACCCAGGGCCTCATGCATGCAAGGCAAGCGCTTTAACACTGAGCCAACTTCCCAGCCCATGAGACTTTTTTTTTTTTGGTCCAGTTGTGAGGCCTGAACTGGGCCTGAGCATTGTCCCTCAGCTCTTCAGCTCAAGGCTAGTGCCCTACCACTTGAGCCACAGCGCCACTTCCAGCTTTTTTCTTTTTGCTTATGTGGTAGTGAGGAATCGAACCCAGGGCCTCAGGCATGCAAGGCAAATGCTCTACCACTGAGCCAACTTCCCAGCCCCGACCATATGTAGTTATATGTAGTCTAACACAATTAAAAAAACATAAATGGGGGGAAACACAGCTGTAGTGTCACAGTGAATTATGAAATGGTATAAGCAGGACCATAATTACAACGTACATTTCAGTTCCATGTGAAGTAAATGAGTTTTTTTCTGATAAGTTTAAATCTGTTTATTCTGATAAGGCTTAGAATCTATTTATCTGAGGAAAATAAAAAGCCTTTTTTTTTTTTTCCCTTTTTGCCAGTTCTGGGGCTTAAACTCAGTGCCTGGGTGCTGTCCCTGAGCTTGTTTTGCTCAAGGCTAAAACTATCAATTAAGCCACAGTTCCACTTCCAACTTTTCTTTTTTGTAGTTAATTGGAGATAAAGAACCTTGGACTTGACAGGCACTGGTGACTCAGGCCTGTAATCCTAGCTAGTTAGGAGGGTGAGATCTGAGGATCACAGTTCAAAGCCAGCCCAGGCAGGAAAGTCTGTGAGATTCTTATCTCCATTTAACTACCAGAAAACTAGAAGTGGTCCTGTGGCTCAAAGTGGTAAAGTGCTAACCTTGAGCAAAAAGAACTCAGGGACAGTGCCCAGGTCCTGAGTTCAAATTTCATGACCCACCAAAAAACAAAGAACCTCAGACTTTCCTGCCTGGGCTGGCTTCAAATAGTTGTTTTCCCCTATTACCTCCTGTATCTTTTGGAGGAGGGAAAATTTTAAATCACTAGAAGATGACAGATGACAGAGCCAACTGGAAAATCCAAATACTTTTTTTTTTTTTTGTCAATCATGGGGCCTGAACTCTGGGCCTGGGCACTGTCCCTCAGCTCTTCAGCTCAAGGTTAGCGCTCTGCCACTTGAGCCACAGTGCCACTTCCAGGCCTTTTCTGCTTATGTGGTACTGAGGAGTCGAATCCAGGGCCTCATACATGCAAGGCAAGCACTCTACCACTGAGCCACCTTCCCAGCCCCAAATCCAAATACTTTTTTTTTTTAGTTGGTCGTGGGGCTTGAACTCTGGGTCTGGGCGCTGTCCCTCAGCTCTTCAGCTCAAGGCGAGCGCTCTACCACTTGAGCTACAGCGCCACTTCCGGTTTTCTGGTGGTTTATTGGAGATAGGAGTCTCACGGTCTCTCCTGCCTGGGCTGGCTTTGAACCGAGATCCTCAGATCTCAGCCTCCTGAGTAGCTAGGATTACAGGCGTGAGCCACCAGTGCCCAGCTTCAAATCCAAATACTTTTAAGAATAAATGAGCCTGTTCTTTCCTTCTGGTTGGCCTCAAATGGTTTGGCATTATCTTTAGCAGGCCCCAAGCTTGGGGTAAACTGGCAAAAGAAATGAGGTGACATTACCACACCACTGGAAAAGGGACACAACCTCAACTTCAGTTAAAAGACATCTCTCCAGCCCTGCCCAAGGAAGCTAAGCTAGTCAACCCTCCCTATAGGGCAACAGGACAGCTGCCTGTCAATAACAAGCATAAGGAAGTGGTGCTGTGATTCAAGTGGTAGAGCAATTGTCTTGAACTGAAGAGCTGAGGGACAGTGCCCAGGCCCCACGACCAACAACAAAAAAAAACACAAGCATAACGTTTGATACCATGGTTTGCCATACAGAATATCATTGGGGAATATATAAAAGTGAGGAAAATTCAGTCACACTGATAACTCACCCTAGGGGAAAACTATAAATAGCCTATTAAACATTATATTAGTGTTGACTGATATGGAAATTATTCTTTTTTTGAGGGGTAGGGGAAAGAACTCAGAGCCTTGTGCATATGCTCTACAACCAAGCTTCTCTCCTAAACCTTAGGGTTTTACTTTTTACTTTTTCTAGAACTGGGCCTTCTGCCAGTGAGGCATGTCCTCTATCATTTGACCACTTGCTGCCCCCACTTTCCTGTTAGCTGTTATTCCCTCCCTCCCTCCCCACTTTCTCTCTGGATAGTTTTACTTTTACAGGGTAACAGGAATCAGACATAGGTAGTGATAATAATGGTTGCACAACATTATGAGTCTTTTCTTTTTTGTTAACAGTATTGGGTCTTAAACTCAGGGCCTGGGTGCTATCCCTTAGCATTTTTTTTTTTTGCTTAAGGCTGATAGTCTACCATTTGAGCCACAGTTCCACTTCCAGCTTTTTGTTAATCAGAGATAAGAATCTCACAGACTTTTCTGCCCCAGCTGGCTTCCAACTATGATCCTCCGACCCCTGCCTCCTTTGTAGCTGAGATTAAAGGTATGAGTCATCAGCACCCAGATTCAATCTTTATACATTCTAAAGTTGTGTTATTTTCAAGACAGGGTCTCTGTTTACACCTGAGTCTACCTGGACTGCTATCCTTCTATTTGTGCTCTTCCCTGCATCACTGGGACATACCACCACACATGGCCACTGTGTTTTCCCTTATCTTGGAATGACAGGTATGTGTTACCATGATCAACCACTGGTAAATGGAGATTCACAAATCTTTGGGGGTGGGGGGGCTGGCTGCTGTCAAACTGAAAAATCCTAATCTGTTTCCCAGGTAGCTAGGATCACAATACTGAACTACCATGCCTAATCCTCAAGCAATTATTTTTATAAGCCAAGGTCTTGCTATATAGACAAGGCTGCCCTCAAATTCAGGCTCATTCTTGCCTCAACCTTCAAGTTCTGGGATTACAGGAACATATCACAACACCTGACATGTATTCATAATAATTTAGGAAAACATAAAATTAAAAAGCTTGTTTGGTTGGGAACCAGTGGCTCATGCCTATAACCCTGGGTACTTAGGTGGCTTGTACTTATGGATATCAGTTCAAAGCCAACCAAGACAGAAAAGTCTGTGATAATATTAACTCCAATTAACCACCAAAGAACTAGGAATGAAGCTATGGTTCAAGTGGTAGAGTCACCAGACTTGAGCAAAAAAGCCTAGGCACAGTACCCAAGCTCTAGTACTGATACCAAAAAAAAAAGTTAAAAGTAGGCTTAAGGTATTGTAGTTGTAAAGAAAATATGAATGTAAAAACATATCTAGCAGAGTCAGGTACCCGTGGCTCTGGCCTATAATATTAACTACTCAGGAGTCTGAGACCTGGGAGATCATGGTTTGAAGCCAGCCTAAGAACAAGAGTCTCCATCTCCCATTAGCCAGCAAAAAAACTGGGCTGGAGACATGGCTCAAGTAACAGAGTAGCAGCGAAAAGAAGCTGAAGAAGAAATGATGAGACCAAACAAACTTCAAAAGCATACCTCACACCAGTGTCCTCAGTTACCAAATCGCGATCTTTGCCCTGGTCATAGCTCTCTGTGGACATTTCAGCGTTTTCTATAAGAGACTGCATATCACTTGCAAATAAATTTGGCCGCTTTCTCTGTGACTTGGGTCCAAATGTAGTTTCAAAACTTTCAGTATCAAGAATGTGCACCTTTGAGTTCTAAAGGGAAAGAATTACAGATAAAACTAAGGAAAGCACAGAGAAAAAAAGAATGTTAATAAAACCACCTGCTCTACCCCCATTAAAATCTGTTTAAGAACATGGATTGCAGTCTGGCTGCAAATTAGATATGTCTATTTAAATAACACACTTGTTCTTCTATTCTGAAGCATTATAAGTTTTCTGGGAGAAATGCAAAACTAATACAAATAAAGAAAATATGAAAAGTTGTATGGTATTTGCCAAAAACTGTTTTATTTCATTTATCATAAATTTTAGTCAAATGCAATTAAGGCTACAATGATGAAAATTAACTTATTTTTTTGAGCTTTCATGTAAGTACATAAAATTCGCCAAATTCACAGATTTTGTCAAGGACAATCATACTCAAATTTATGTTTTTTTTAAACCAACTGTAAATGCCAACTTTTTCTTGGAAGTCCATTTCTTTCATGGCTAAAAGGAATTGCTTGTTTTTTAAGATGCATTTTAGTTTCAGATAACATTTTCCCTAATTTAGGTTACATTTTTATTAAATGCACATGGAAAGACTTTAGATGAAAGACATCTAGTGAAGTCCAAAAGAATAGGTTAGATGTGATAAAAGAAACTTGATAGTAACTAGAACTTGATGTGCCTGTAAAGGAATTACAGGCATAGGAATTCTTGAAGCAGGATAAAAGTCAAAGTTTGAGTTAGCATCTATCACGTAACAGATTGTTAAGAAGCGGCAGAGAATCTCATTTAAAAAAAAAAAGAATCACTCTCCCTCAGTACAAGCTCCCTGGTAAGTAGACTGTTACAAAACTTGGGGTAGGATTGAGCCTCAAAGCTTCGAGCTTTTAATTCATCTCCCTTTGACTTCTAAGGCTCTTCCTTTGGTTTTGTTCTTCCTTTGGTTTTCCTTGCTAGCTTCCAAGTAAGGGAACATCCTCAAACAAAGACTAACATTTTCCATGGGAACTAGGTTCTAAAGTCAAGTACAATCAAATTTATCCTTAAAAATCTTATACCTATGAAATACAGTATATTTAATTTTGTGTATATGCTGAAACTAATTAATGTTCAAATGTAAATCAAGTTACACTACTTTTACCATACTGCTACATAATTCTAATACACAAAGAGCTAAATGTGTAAAAGTTAAAGCATATCTGATTTGACTCTCCTGTTCAGAATCATCTTGTAGTTAGATCTCCTAATATCACACTAAAACAAGTAAGCTTTTGAGGCCAAAGCAGAAAATCCATCAATTATTTGAAACTTTCATTGCAACAAATTATAAGATGACTGTGGTAAATACAGGCCCTCCATTCTACCTATCAGCTATTTAAGCACTAGATTTTAGGAGCACCAAATAACTGGAACAAAACAATAAATCCATAATAGAACCTCTCTGTTCTTCCCAGAAACAGGATTCAATAGTTGGTTAGAAGATGGCTTTAGGGAGAAATGACAAAGAGAACAAGGGAAATGAGCAACTTGTCTGTGGTTCATGAATTACACTCATGTGTTTCCTTGAAAGAAAACAGTCACTCCACTAATAGGTGCCATTCTTCTAGTCCATCATAAAACAAAACATAATTGACAAAACCTGAGGCAATAACCAGGCCCTGGCTTTTATTTTGTTCTCCAAGTAAACACTTTTCTTTGAACTGTTTAATCCGTGTATGCATGTCAATGTTTTCCTCTCCTCCTTATACTGGAACTGAAGCTTATGTACTGGCTACATTTCTGGGAATTATTATTCAATGCAAGTAAAAATGTGCAGAGAAACATTAGGCGATTTCTTTGTTCTATTCGAAGCTCATTCTACTCCATCCAGATCCAGTTCTCATTGTACTTCAAACTTCAGCAATCAACAACTGTCTGAACAGTACCCTTCCTTTCCTTCAGCTGAAAAGAATCTCCAAGGATCTCATCAAAGCCAGGGAAGAACAAAACACCAAAGGACTCCTTCCATTTCAATCCTAATGCTACATCTCTCTGTAGTCTGATGGAATTACCACTTAAAACAAGTCTGCCTACCAACATAAAAAAAGGGCTGGGGATGTAGTTCACTTGCCAAACATGTACAAGACCCAGTGTTCAATTCCCAGTACTGCAAGGAAGAAACTAAAATTACTACCAGTTTACTGTCAACTTAGTCTTTATGAGGAAGGATGCTATGTGTTTACTGTGGCCCAAATGCTTTACAGAAGTTTCATCTGTATCCACACAGGAAGCCAAGTTGTCTTTACAGCAGGAAAGTTAATGCTCACGTGGAGAAACCTAACTAAGGGTACTGAAAGAGACTGAGCAAGGTCCCATTCCAAACTCTGAATTTCAATCCAGTATGCCACTGTAGCTGTATGGCAAAACTCAATTCTTACTAAAACTGAGATCCTACCAATGGTGAAAAGAGAAAAGTCTCAGAAGAAAAAGCCAAAAAGTTACAGAGGTATCTCCAGGAAGTTTGTCTATGCAATTCAATTCCATCACCAGGATATCCTACATCTTACATGAGGCTGGATCCGATCATGGAGAAGAGACATTGGTAACTTGCTTTGCTTCATGACAACTTTATATGGATCCTTCATAACTTTATCCATTTCCTCTTGAAACTTTTGTAATGATGACTGCTTAATCACACGTGTGTTTCCTGTTTTATAAGTAAAAACATTGCTACTTAATAGCTTGGATTCATTCACCTCTGCATCCATTCTACCTGACCCTCATCCACCCAATCAATTATATATCGTTCCGTGTAGCTGTTCTCAAAAATGAGGGGGAAAAAAAAATCTAACAACCTCCCCAGCACTCAATCACAATGAGTGCACATCCACCAACCTCAACACACACAAGTATTGATAGTTTTCCAAGCCCATTTCCTGACTAGATGAAACTGAAAAAAAAAAAAATCACTGAATGGAAATTAAGATCTGACAAATGTCCTGATTCTTGTTAGTTTTGGCAAAGAAATCTGGAGCCAATCATAGCTGATTGGTTTGTATAGATAGGAGCCCTGACACTCAGAAACTCCTCACAGTTGTAATTTTTAGGACTATGAGGGACTGAAGAATCTATGAACCACTAAATTTATTGTAAAGAAAACAGAACAAAGCTCTGAAACACTATGTGGTGAACCCCTTATAACTAAAAAAATCCAGAAGGAAGTACTCAATTAAACAGCAGTGCAGCACAAATGTAAACATCGGGGCTGATGACATTTACACAATACTATTTGCTAGCTTTTTTCACATATTTAATTAACTGACACAACAGTCCTGTGAGATGATACTATTCTTCCTTTTTGTGTTACTGGGGTTTTGAACTTAGGGTTTCATGCTTGCTTAAGTAGACAGGTGCTCTACCACTGGAGCGAGGCCATCTGGCTTTAGTTATTTTTCAGATAAAAATCTCGTTTTTGCCTGGGCCAAGCTCAGGCTGATTGCCTCCAATCTATGCCTACACATATCTTGGATTATAGACATACTTACATACCAGACTTGAGATGAGGTCTTGCTAAACCTCTTGCTCAGGCTGGCCTCAAAATGCGATCTCATGATGGTACTACTACTCTTTTAGAGATTACAAAGACTGATGGATAGACTTAATAAACAATCACATAGTTGGCAGAACTCGATTTCAAATTCAGGCTCTATGAAGCTGGGAAGGTGGCTCAGTGATAGAGTGCTTGCCTTGCATGCATGAAGCCCTGGGTTTGATTCCTCAGCACCACATAAATTGAAAATGCCAGAAGTGGCGCTATGGCTCAAGTCATAGAGCGCCCGCCTTGAGCTGAAGAGCTGAGAGACTGTGTACAGGCCCAGAGTTCAGGCCCATGATGACCACCACCACCACCAAACCCAAATTTAGGCTCTATGGATCTGAAGTTTTGGTACTTATTAGCTATGCTGAATGCCCCTCTATACCATGTTATAGACTTTTTTTTTTGGGGGGGGGGGTTGGTTGTGGGGCCTGAACTCTGGGTCTGAGCGCTGTCCCTCAGCTCTTCAGCTCAAGGCTAGTGTTCTACCACTTGAGCCACAGCGCCACTTCCGGCTTTTTTCTTTTTGC